TTTGACTATATGAATGAATTTTACTTTGCTTATCTATTGCTTTTAATTTTGAATAAATATCCATTAGATTGGATTTCAAATTTAATACAAGCGAAAATATAAAGTCAACGATTTTCATTCAACATTGTTTGTAAATGTTTTTTTAAGATTGTTTGCTGATTTAAAAAAAACGAAACGTATAAGGATATGGGTTTGAAAGAACACGATTACTATAAAAATAGATTGAAATAATATATCAAAGTAACAGAGGATGAGATTTGTTTGATCGCTTTTAAGAAATCTCAGTTTTAACAATCAGATTATAAGATCATGTGAAAACATATACTATGATGCATTGAAGAGTTGATAAATTGATTTTTGTATGATGATAGACGATTATAATATTTAAGTTACGATTTTTATAAAAAAAAAAACTCAATATCGAAAAGCATTATCATTATCGATATTAGTCTCAATGCTCTATAAGAAACATTTTCCAAATTTAGTAAATAAAAGTGCTGGTTATTTATTTAATAATATAGCTTTATATTTATTTAAATTGAATAAGTACGATGAAGCTTTGAAATACGCAAGTACTACTGGTATTTTAAAAAAATACTAACCATCATATTTTGAATAACTTTCGATGACTTTATGCTATCAAAGTCGAGCGATCACCATTAGATAGATCAACGCGGATTGGAAGCATTTGTCTATGTAATATTCATTAAGTTCAGGTAAATTTTTTAAGAACATTTGGAAGTGAAAATTTTTTGTGCTACATATTTCTACAAGTTTTTATAACAACATATGCTCAAATTACACCAAAATAAAGCCAAAACTAAGCCCTATTGGTCATAAAATTTCCATATTTCAGAAAAATTTTGTTCAAGCATGAATCCAAGATAAAGATGACCCATCAAGATTAATTTGATTACCCATAACGATAACTCGATTTTTAAGCGATAAATAATATTTCATCTTGCGAATGAGTGTGAAAATCCCTAGGTCGATCAGTACGGATGGGTTCCGGCAGAAAAACACCGTAAGTCGCTGGAACAGGATGGCGGTATTCCTGCCGGAAAATTTTCGGATTTTTTCTGGTGACTTCCGGCCAAATTTCTCCCATTTTCTGCAGAAAGTTGTGTGGGTGGGGATCAGGGTTGGAGCCGATCGGGAATATTCGAAGCGATTCGGTCCAACCGGTTCCAAACGTTTTTCAGACCGGTAAAAATCGGTCGGCTTGCCAAATCATTTTTGATCAGTTAAAGAAAATGGCTTTAAAATCATTCAGTTTCCTTTTTTTGCTTCTATTTTAGGAAGCTTTAAGAGAAAATATCATGTCATAGTCGTTTATGTTTTCAAGGTTTCTCAACAATGAATATGTGACGTTTCTCTGGCGCAATAAAAGATTCAATTTACCCGACAACTGATTGCTAAACTACGAATCTTGAATTTTTTTCACTCAAATTTTACTACAAATCCTTAGGTGTCTCTCAGAATGACAGTTCAAACTCAAATCTAGTCTCTAACAAACATCAGCCAGATAAATTGAGAAGTTCATCTCAAGTAACACAATTTTTTTGATTGTGCTTTTCACAAAGCGAAATACAGTTCGATTATAAAAATAAAAAAGATACAGACGGACAGAAGAAGATAAAATTGATAAATTCTGAATAATACTGCTTGATTATTTTGATAACTGCATTTAAACTTGCTTTCGACATGTTTTATCAAAGAAAAATGGAATATCTAAAAATAAATTCTAAACTGATAAAAACCGGCACAGACCGGCCAGTCAGACTATCTCAACCGGTCCGGTGCCTGTTTGCCGGATCGGTTCCAACTCTGATGTGAGTGTGGGTGTGGGGTGTGGGTATGGATGTTGGTATTACTAGAAAGGATACCCACATCCTTTTTTCTTTGAAGAAATTTCTCTGCATGCTCAACTTACATTGTATTCAGAAATTAATAAAGTTTGTTGATTCTTTTTAAGATTAGTGTATTTCAATCAAAACATATGTGCTTCAAGTTTGATATTACCAAAAAGATAATATTCAAGTAAAGTTCAATAAATAAATACATATTGTTTCTATTTAAATGAAACAGAAATAAATCATTTTTTTTATTGTAATAAAATAAACATACCAATGTTTATATCATAAAATCACGTCCACGACACATTTGTAATACAAAATTATATATATCTACTTTTTTTTCTTCTTGATGAATTTTTTCAATCATTGCATCAATTGCAATATAAGTACCGGTACGATCAGTATCAGTTCTAGAAAAAAAAAATTTTTTCTTATAATATAAAATTCTTCATTTTCTTTTTCTATTACATGCAATGAACAATACTTGAATATTGTTCAGGATTCGTTTGTTCATTAACTTCATGTATTAAATGAAGTATTGCATGTGAATCATTTGGAACATCCATATCTCTCGATTATGTATAATGATATTGAATTTAATAACAATGCAACATCATTTGTTAACGATAACGATGTTGAAATATCGTTTATCTTGTATAAATAGAGAGAATAAGAATCATGTTTTTTGAGATTTATCATTGTAGATAATAATGATGTTGAAAAAAATTTTTGCTATTCTACTCTTAATAGTTCTTTTTAATGGTAATGTTCAAGGACAATTTCGTCGATTATTATATCCAAATGGAAAACATAGTATTGTTAAATCTAATGATGATCCTGGCGAACCTCTATTTCTTACACTTTATATTGAACAAGGTAAAATTGAAGAAGCAAGGCGATTAAGGTAAAAAAAAAATCTCTTTTTTGTTTTAAACCGTTTTACCTTCATGTATTTGATTAATTTAGTTCAGTGGAATTACCACCTTTTAAACAAATGATAATATCAATGCTCCTGTTCTTCTTTGGCTTCAAGGTGGACCTGGTGAAACATCACTCTTCGGTTTATTTAATGAACATGGTCCTATTCAAATTAATACTGATGGAAGTTTATCTGAACGTTCTATTACATGGAATTCATTATATAATCTTTTATATATTGATAATCCAGTTGGTACTGGTTATAGTTTTACATCAAATGATCAAGGTTATGCTCGTTCACAAGATGATGTTGCACGTGATCTTTATTCAGCATTAACACAATTTTTTCAAATATATACTGATTATGTATCAAATTCATTTTATGTTACTGGTGAAAGTTATGCAGGAAAATATGTACCATCAATAGGATATAAAATTCATATTGAAAATCAAAATCCACAAGTTAAAGTTAAAATTAATTTAGTTGGTCTTGCAATGGGAAATGGATGGACAGATCCTTATAGGCAATATGTTTATGGACCATTACTTTATCAGGTACCTTTTTTTTACACAGAAACAATTAGAAATAAATTTGGATATAAAATTTCAATTTATGATTAATCAAAATGTCAATGAGATCTTTCTAGGATTCGGACCTGATTTATAGAAATTTTTCAGATAGAAATCTGTCTGATAACATCTTCAATAAGGTTTTCTTATCGGAATTCGAAAATAACTTTGAAGATGCAGAATATTATTCCCCTATTATTTCTATTCGATGACTAACATATCTTAGATTGTCGATGTTAAAGTTCCTCGGTTCAAGACTTTTGAACCCGGATAAGATCAATTTAAAATTGCAGATCCAAGGTCAGTCGGATTCGGCCCTACTCGCTGATCTCTAATCTCAGACCCTGTTCTCGAATGATTTTCTCTGTCGATGTACAGTGTGCACACAATATTGGTTACTATTATTCATTTGTTCCTTCTATGTCTTTAATCAAAGAGAAAACAGTACTTGAAAAGAAAAAAAGATATCTTTCGATATTCAGAGAATATCCTATTAAATAGTGATTGCTTTAGGATCGTAATTTGATAAATAAAGTTTCTAGCGCAATTCCTATTCGATGAAAAATGTGGGACAATGTGATGAAGAATTTCTCTTTCGGATCTGTTAAGATCTCTAATATACTATAGGCTCCTTCTCTCAGTCTTTATCACAGGCATCCTTATCTGTTGTAGTCTATAATGAAGAAGGTAGACTAGATTCTGAGGTATCTGTCATCACACACGATGACACATTACGGAATATTCATTAGCAAAGCGTCGTAGTTCATAAACACTGCTAAAACCTTCTCGTTTATCATAAAACCAGTTTCATCATATTTTGCATTCTAATTCCATAAGAATTGCATTAACAATGTTTTTATCTAATAATCTCTTTTAATAAAACTTCTTTCTCGTAATTCTAGATTGGTTCCATTGATAATGAACAATTATTTTATGTTAATCTTCAATCAGATTTAGTACGTTATGCTATTAGTCAAAAACGTTTTTCTGATGCATCTAAAATATCAGATTCTCTTTTTTATGGTGATTTAATGAATACATCTTATTTAACAAATGTAACAGGTTTAAGAGCTTATTATAATTATTTACAAACAGATGTTACTCCTAATATGAATAATTATGTTAAATTTATAACAAGTGTTGATCGTCGTCGACAAATTCATGTTGGAAATTTAACATTTCATGATGATAATAAAGTTGAAATAAATCTTATAAATGATGTTTTTCAAAGTATACCATCCCAACAATTAACAGTATTATTTGATAATTATAAAATTCTTATTTATAATGGTTTATTAGATATAATCTGTGCGGAAAGTTTAACATTAAATTGGATTTCTGATTTACAGTGGTCACATTCAAATGAATATAAGAATGCCACTCGTCAAATATGGAAAGTTGATTCAAGAGATGATCAAATAGCTGGCTATATTAAAATAGTTAGTAAATTGATGTTAGCTTCTATTCGAAATGCTGGACATATGGTACCAACTGATCAACCACGTGCTATGTTTGATTTATTAAAACGTTTTATTGAACTTACTTTTATTAATTGAAAATAACGTTTTCATAATCACATAAATTTTGTTTATCAATACAAGCTAACTTATTTTATATGAATCATAAGTTACTCAGGTAGAATATAACGGCACGTAAACAGCCGTAAACTGTATGAAAAGCATGAAAAACGACTACCGTTAGGATGACCGTTTAAGACACATCGTAAAACGGCTAAATAATGCGATAAACGATGATCATTTACAATGACGATTAATGTACCACCGGAAACAGTGGTCATTACGACTATCACTGTCTGTTGTTATTGACGCTTGATTCGTCTCTAATGATCCTATTGTAAGACTCGAGGGATTGAGATCTATTAGTGTCTAAATGCCCATGATGACGAGAATTGATTTGGTTGAGACACAGACTAGTTCATTTCTCTACTGTCATTAATTTGATGGAAAAGCGTTAGATCCATAATACATATTTAATCACAATTGATTAAACAATATATCAACAATTGTCTAGCATAAAATCGCTAGCCTATGATTATTGACAAGAACATCAACGTGAAACTTATGATGACCTGAATATTTTTTTACGGAATCTTACGCCTTCAGCTCTAAGCAAAATTCATTTTGACAAGATAAAATTTATTGCTCTTTCTTTCCGATTGCGTTGTGCTAAAAAGAACTAAGTCATGTCGTGCTAATAATCATTGTAAGGAATAGAAAATTAATGAAACTAACAATATTGTCACTGACATCTGACGCAATGCGTTGACTCAAGAGACAGATTTTATGAGCGTGTATAATTGTATGCACGCAACTGATGACAATAATGTCAGAAGCAATTAAAACTAAACGAACAAAATTACTTAGCAGAGAACATTGACAAGTAGAAGAAAAAAATAAAAAAAAACGACTCTGTGAATTATCAGAAACGAGCTATGTCATTGACAACATCTGTGCTTAATTTTTGCATCACAACAATATATTGTTTGTGTTAGTTTTTTCATTCTTACCGTCGAATCTCTTGTAAATTTTAGTCAACTAATTATCAGCTTTATTTCGCGCATATGGATCAATGCATTTGCTGATAATTTAACTCAACGTTCACTTTTCTGATACAAATTAAGACCGACCATATGAGAAACATTATCAGTTATATTCTGTTTCACTATGTGTCTTGTTACTGGTGAGCAATTTCGGAGTACTAATCATCGACGTAATTTGAGACGATTGAGTACATTTGAATTGGCCCGTCAACTCATTTTGATAAGTATTATTACATGGTCATTGCATGGAATACCTACTCTAATCTTCTTCGAAATTCAATCATCACTTAGCTGCCCGATTTATAATCAAATCTATGGTCAATATTATTGAATCGGTTATTTCTGTATTCTTCTCGGCTTTTTATCAATGTCTATCATGACTATATTTAGTATACTTGCTTTTCGAAATGTTCAGAAAATTATTCGAAGTCCAATACCTATTAAACGTCGATGTCGTGATCGACAACTTACTTCAATGGTTCTTATTCATGTTGCCTTTCTTATTCCACTAACACTTTCCTATGTCATACATTATGCTTATACATTCAGTAACAAATATCTTAATGATGTTCAATTAGCATTGAATCAATTAATCGCTGCTATTCCTATTTCATCTGCCTACATGCATTATTCAGCAAGCTTTTTGTATTAATTCAAAGAAAGAAAAAATTTATCGA